AAAATTTGTGTTCTTAAATGTTAGCTAACCAGTTTTTCTCAAAGGGATTTGTCAAACAACAAAATTCAGCATCTTCCGGACGATGTTTTTGGCAACCTTACTCGGTTGAAAAGGCTGTAAGTGGCATTTTGTACGCCTTTACAGCGAGTGAAACCGTACAATTCTTTTAAGAGATTTTAGTAAACCCTTGCATTGCGGCTATTGCAGATAGAATGCTATTACAATAAACATATCAACGTAAACTACTGCATGCGCTTCACTAGCTTCAGTATATAACAGAGTGGGGAGAGGTTGAAACCTCTCCGCCCCGGTATGTAATGCTAACTTTAGTGGATGTGGTCACCAATAGCAGTGAAAAGAATATATAGAAAAGAAAAATATAGCTACAAGATTGACTTGCGATATGAGCAACAGTTCGAACTCATAGTTTCGATGCACCAACACTGAGAAGTGAATTCCTGTCATGATATGTAAACGACCATTTAAACAGCAGAATTACAAATGGCACCTTTTCTTTTACATTCTCAAGTCCGGGAATAAAAGGTTTAGCTACTCAGCTAAAATAAAAATAAACAGTTAAGTTTTAATGTCAATTCACGAGGTCCCTATTGGGATAAAAAACTCTCCGAGAGTCTCAAATACCAACGCAGTTAGCTTGCTTTTCAGCTCTTTTCCTTTTGTTTTTTCTTTTTAAGCTTTCTCTCCAATAACAAACTTCAGCGTTTGCCAAAGTTAAAAAATCTCCTCGAGATAGAAACATTGTAAGTGATTTGTGTTTGTAACAAAGACTGGTTCAGTGCGTGTCTTGTTTAATGGGCAGAAATGAAAAGAGAGCTTTGGGTAAAAACAGAGAATCAGTGTGCCGACCCATTATTTCTCTGATATTCTCAGACTTAATTAAAAGCTAGTTTAAGGATTTTAATCCAAAAATATACAGTACCTTTTAAAATAAATGCAGAAAATAAGAATCATTAACTATTATATTTGTTAAGATAACGCACATGTGGAGGATATCGCATGGCCGCGCGAAGATCCGAACTTTCTCTTCGACTTTTGAAAGATACTTTTCAACACGAGACGATAAATTTCGTATCGCTAAGCGGCCATGTAATATTTATTATATGAACACCAATAAAAACCTAATAATTTCCCTTTAGCTGCAAAATGGTGCACTTTATTACGGGACTTTAGTAACAGCAGTATTTTTACTTGTGAAGATAACGTGCTACTTTTACTCTACGCAAAAGCTCGCCAGGTATTTCATTAGTGTTTATATACCAAAATATGATACCACACACTACAGAACAATCAGAACAATCAGAACAATCAGTGCAAGCACGATGTGATCAAAATGTCCTCGTCCCGGTGAAAGCAGTCTTAAGCAGTCTGACGGTGCTTTTTAATGAAGTTTTGAACAACTTTGACGAGCAGTAAAACAGTTTCCTGAAGAACAAGGAACAAATAATTTAAGGAAAGATTATATGAGGCGAATAAACGATATAAAAATGATAATCATAGCTGATCCTGACGATAAACATTTCTGAGCCCAAACAATTATTGAAATTTATATTTTCTGTTAAATAGTGATACAGAGCGTCTCGTGCATTTCATTTATCTCGTAGCTACGTGGAGAAAAACAGCCTCGCAACTCTGTCACCGGATCAGTTCCAAGGCCTGTCCAAATTGAGAGACCTGTAAGTAAACCCAGCAATTTTATATGAACAGAATGGTGAACGGAATTTATGTCTGCAATAGTAAAAATTCATGACCTTACACGAGATATCTGATCATCTGAAATCAATGTTCATTAGCGGCTGTCTTATTTTTTGGTTCATTTGAATTTTCTGTTAGAGGATGTGCGGTTGCGAAAGAAAAAAAACATATACTCGAGGAATAAGTAATCTTCTAAATTATAAGTTAAATTGTATCCGTGGCGTGATGCAAAGGGTGAGCAGACTAATTCCCTGACCCACTTTTGCTCAAGGTTTTGTTGAACTACTCAAACTAGTGTGCTTTGGCTGGCTTAGACTCAAACACCTTGGAGGTTACCAGGATCACGTGTGACGTTGCTCGAGTTTGAAGTTGCTATATCATCCAGGATAGCAAG